AAAAAAAAAAAAACACAAACGAAAAAATGAGATATGAGGGAGGACAGTCAGATGAGTGTTGGCAGCGTTGGGCAGCACATAATTGGAAAAGGTAGGAGCCCAAACAGTCCCCCCCTCCCTCCATCAAAGTCGATTGCCAGATCCTCGAGGAATAAAAACCAGGGTGCCCGAGCCACGCCGAGGCCTGGGGGGGTCGGTGGGCGACGGGCCCAGACAGCCATACCCCATGAACGGGGAAGTCCTTCAGAAGGCCTGCTGCGCAGGGTTGTAGTTGAAGGTCGACGGCACGTGTGGCCTCTCTTCCAGCTTGTCATACTCAAGGTGAAACTCCTGAAAGGCCGATAACCACAACACTGAAGTTAGTGCCCCCCGCCCCGTCAAGTGGAGGGACAGGAAGGACCTTCCATTGACACAAAGGCATAAGGATCCGTACAAGAATGTAGAGCACCGAAGGAGTGGGAGCCAATCGCAAAGTATACTGCCTCCCTATTCCAAATACAGCCTTTGATTGGTGGACAGTCTGGGCACAAACCAATGAACACGGAGTGCACATTCTGTACTGCAGAGGCGGAGCCTCAGGCCAGCAGCTTTACCTTAGCCACCTTCCTCCAGTTAAGACAATCGAAGAAGTAGTACGTCCCCCTCTCATAGGTGTTGGTCTTCACCGTGGGCTCCATGCCGGGCGCCCGCGTGATCCACACCCGCTCCTCCTTGTGGTACCGCCAGTCCCGGTTAAAGCTGAGGCAGAAAAGGACACAAATGCAGGAAGTGGCTTCATTAGAGGGAGTCTGCTACACTAGGCTCTTAGCGTTCAGGGTCCACCCAGCCGGTCTCCTGCTTACGGGAACCTGACTCACAAATGCTGGCGAATGGTGAATATTCCAAGGTCTTGAATGAAATGGAAAAATGTAAACCTCGGTCACATCACCTTGGCAGAGCAAAGTCCAAAACCACATCGCCGTCACGAGGCCGAGGAGCAGGATTCAGATTTGGCCAGAGATGTACATATAACATGAGGTTGGTTATGAGGCTGCACGGAGGCGCCTGACGTAGTTAGTTTTCTCCACCTCAGGCACATGATACTGTGCAGTTTAAGCTGGGACACACTGTACGGCAGGGACTCCTACGGTCGAGGACAGTATCCATGTTTGTAATCGGTCTATTCTGGAAGCACATATAACGAAAGCAAAGTGTGGACTTAAATATTTATAAATGCCGGAACGTTTCACAGCAGGAGTTGAAATGAGATTCATGGATAATCTCATACTCTGGCATGTCCGCATGAGTGCCTGTTTGCCGTAGATTAAATGCAGGGGTTTTCTGCTTTTGCCGCTCGGGGCGGGCGCCAAGACAAACCGGCCAAAGCTACACAAACACCCAGGCCGACGCTGTGGGTCTCTGTGACCCAGACGAAGGGCTTAACGCTGGCAGAAGCTGGGGCGTGGTGATGGAGAATCTAGGCACCCAGACCCCAGCGACACGGGGTACCTACAGCTCTACGGCCGCGAGGAGCTGGAGAAGGTCTCCTCCATTCATGTAGTACAGGTAGAACAGCAGGTCTTCACCGTACCGCGACAGCTTTATTGCAGCCAGCTGTGTGAACAAGATGACAGTCAGCAGCTCCAGTGGGTCCATCTGGACTTCAGGAGAACAATCAAGCTGCACAGATACAGGTACAGCCAACGGCGCTCATGCTCATCTCTCAAAGTCTACACTTAACAGTAATAGACACCTTATCTGACAATCTGCACCATACACTCCCACAAATGAAAAAGAATCAATTTCAGGTTACTGAAACAAAACACAACACAAACGGATACACGTTACCAGAGGATTTTAAATGACAATCCCCTGCTGAAATTTCCAGATTGCAGTCTTGCATTTATTGAAACAAATGGTTGCCTTGGTCCTTTACAGCTGAATCTAGACAATCCCTCACTTTCACCTGAAGCCATTACACGTTCACCCAGGGAACTGGCAGGCAATTTCAGTCAGTAAGAGTCTTAATTCAACCAGTCAGCCGTTTAAATTTTAACACTACCAAGCGAACTTCCTGAAGACCAAACAAACGATTACGCACGCCAACAGCAGCCAGCTTCAGCGCCGGCCTGGACCCTGTCGCCTCCCCATAACGACACTGAGGGAGCACCTACCTTATCCCTTATGTGAATGTTGGTCAGGTACTCCGAGGGAACGTGGAAGTCTGCCGGCAAGAGAGAGATGTACCAGCAGTTAGCATGCACAGGCGCTTTGTCCGTCCTGGGGCCCCCCGTCTGGGCCCCCGTCCTCACGCTGCCTGACACTTACCGATGTCCTGAGGCCGACACGGGGCTGACGCCCACGGAGATGCGAACTTGGGGTACAGATTCCTGGAGGAGGAGCAGAGGGGAAGAGTTAGCCCACGGGCCACGAACTGAAGCGTGGCGTTATACTATGTGGAACCCCAAGGTAGTCCGACAACACCTCAAGACATTCCGGTTTTACTCCAAGACACTAAATGACTATTTCACTTCGTTTCAAAAAGGGGAAAAGGTCCACAAGTAGTGAGAATCGGCTAATCACCAGATGCTTTGGAACTAGGTGCGAGACTTACTGTGCTGTTGGATGACATGATGCGTAAATTAAGGCAGACAAGCTTTCACTACTACAACCAAGAACAATGCAGATTATGTAGATAAATACGTTACAGTATGTAATATAAATCACCCACCACCCAAGGCTGAACACAGGAGCAGGTTCCAGAAAGCACTTGGTAGCTAGTATTATCCCACCGGCATTTTCCAGTTAAAATATCTATTATGAGGTAATACATATGGGCAGCAGGCCTACAGGCCTGGCTTACAGAGGCTGCATTAACAACATCCAACAGAGGCACCAAACCATGAGAACTGAAGCCGAATCAATATGTGCCACATAGAGGAGTCATTCAGACGCGGCTCGAGGTCCATTTCCTGTGTGCTGAGCACACGCAGATAAGCGGAGCTGGTCCAGGCTGCCAAGTGCAATTGGTCACAGAGCCCGACACTAACAAACGTGATCCGTAACAGAGCAGAGGTCGCTGGGTATCAGTGCCTTCAAGCTCAGCAGGAACTGAAGGCATTTCATGGCAGACCCTTCATGTGCCGGATACAGCTCTTCAGACCCCACACTAACGACCAGAAACCAACACACAAAAGCTATACACTAATCTACTGCTCCGAGCAACGTGATGGTTTGCCCCAAGGGCCGTGTCCTAGCCCAGTCCAGTGTGAAAAATTTGCAGGTTCCTCCTGGGTTTTCAAGGTTTTCCTTCACAGGCAAATGACAGGTGTGTGAATGTGCAAGAGCCCCGTGAAGGACTGTCATCTTGTCCAAAGCGTACCCTGCTACAAACGTGTCTCTGGATCATCAGTCTGAAGGCCAATGGACAGAGTGCATGGATAAACCAGCAGGAGAAGAGAAGCCTGCACCTTTGTGCCCTGTAACAGAGGGAGAACGAAGGCCCTTCTTACTCTGGGGAGTTGAGGTTGAGTCCTAGTGTTGTCAGGTCACTGCCCAACGCCAAGTGCACCATACCCGGGTCCGTCTCCGCCGCCCGGATGAACGTTAGCAACCCGATCATCCCGAACTGGTCAGTCACCATCCCAGTGGGAATGTTCGTTACCCGACCTGAAAGGTGGTCCAAGGTGGTCATCAGGTAGGGGGAAACCTTCAGTCCAAAAGTAGTTCACTTAAACCTCCAAAACTGATGTTTACGCTTCCAAATTTAAAAGTAGACAACAAACCAGAATTTATGAAGCTGGGAGGAGATACGGGTTGGCGTGTGTGTGTCGGAGATACCGGTTGGCGTGTGTGTGTCGGAGATACCGGTTGGCGTGTGTGTGTCGGAGATACCGGTTGCCGTGTGTCAGCACTTGGCCCTTAAGGAAACCCTCTGGATATGCACCATTTACTGCCATGCATGATACCGCAACACGATCTCAAGTCGCCCGATCTCTGAGGAACTCACCATCAGGTAACACCTGGATCCCCTTCTTCTGCTGGTTATTGTTCTGCGCCGTTGAGCTCTTGTCTCCTGGGAACTTGGGTCCATCTGTGCTGGATGAATTCTTGCCTGATGAGTTCAAATTCTGAGGAATGACAGACAAACGGAGCTATAAGTGACAGCTGGATGGACCGGATGATGGGAGCCAAGAGACAGGGGGTTTGACCGGCCATTTTTCCCCTTAGAAGTAAAAGAACCATGACTGAACTAGAGGATGATGCTGAGCATTCAGCTCCGTCTCATGGTGACTGGAGCAAATACCTTGACCCATTTCAAACCCACAAAGATCAGATGGATTAAGACCACCTTCTACAACTCAAATCTATCATGGGGTTTCTTGTTACCATGTCTGGGTGAACATTGTCATCTAATCTGTTACCTAGTTCTGCATTTCCCCAGACTTTCATGACATTTCACTACTTCGCTTGGTTTATGCAAGTCCAGCAACAAAGAACCATGAAGACAAAGCACATGAGCATGGCCCAGTCTCTCTGATGGTACTCACAGATTTGCTGTCATCGTTGTTCGACGTTGGGTCCTTGTAGTTGGGACCAGGCAACGCGGGGAAGTCCTCGTTGTGGATGGAAAAGTCTTGGGACTGCTCGTTCGACGGTTTTGTGACCATACCAACTGGAAGATGAAGAGTTTTATCTAAGGACCGTGGGCAAGGATTGAGGCCAGGCCGTAGAAACCCTCCCAAATTCTTTCCGACCAGTGACAGGTCATCTGGGAGTTTGGATCCAGCCGTGTTGCTTTAGCAGAATGAAAAGACTGGTGATGAAACAAATTCACACAGCAATTTAGGCATTAAGAGAAGCCAGATAAACAGCTATTGTAAAATTAGAGGCACTGAGAGTTCCAGTTAAAGCCTGCTGTCAGTCTGATATGGCCAAGGACAACTGGGAGGAGTGGTGACGATACGAGGATCCAGGCCCGCGTCACACACCGTAAGGAGCCCTTCCAGCCAGCGGGTTGAGTAACGGCGTTGGGTTGCCACTGCCTTCCCTTCGACTTCTGTCCGCCAGCGCTGGGAAGTCCGAGAGGTCCAAGCCCGTCACGTTTTCACTACCGTCTGCAAGGGTGGGGGACCAAAATACCCAACACCTAAATTGACCCCGATGTGAGCGACTGATACGAACTCTAAACAAACAGTGCGAGCAAGCTGCAGATAGCACTCAGGGTCACCAAATCAGCGGGTCTGCATGCGGGTAACAAGCTGACCCGCGTAACCTCATGAGCCTATTACAGCCAACATTACAGCAACTTCAGCTGTGACCACATGATCTTCTTAAAGGAGGAGCAACAAGGAAAAGATAAGAAACCTGATTTGGAACGTGACTGCAAATTTCGGAGAGAGAAATTAAAAAGCTACGTATCAAGGGTGCTTTTTCAACATCATTCAAAAAAAAAAAACAAAAAAACCTTCAACTTCAAAACTGAAATCACAGCGTGAATTTACTCAGCAACAATCAAGCTTGATTAGGCATTCAGACAGAACAAACGACAGCTAACTTTGGGGTCCTTCAAGAGCATGTCCGAGAGCCATGCAGGAAGACGCGGGCATGCTCACCTGTCCCATTGAAGATGTTACTCGATAACGAGTTGTTCATCCCAAATCCCTGATTCCTGTTCATTCCGAACCCAGACATGCTGCAACAACAGACAGGCAGAGGTAAGATTAAACACCTGACAAGGCGGGGTAGCAGACAGACATCGATCCCGCAGTGGCTCTGGGGGTCGGGTAATGGCCACACTCAATAATTACTCAGAGCTGCGCCCTGCAGGTGCATGCTGGGAAGCGAGGCGGCCCACACCCACCTGTTGATGGTGAATGGCTGCCTGGACGGCTGCTGCTTTGGCATGCAGATGATGCTGGGCGAGCTCCTGTTGGGGCTGCCCAGCCCCGAGCTGCCCATGCTGTTGGTCCTGCCCGTCATTGCCATGCCCTGGCTCACCTGAGAGTGGTTCATCATGTTCCTCGTGTTCATGGGGAGGATGCCCCTGGAAAACGGCCGGATGATGGGTCAGGTTCAGGAGCAGGCTGGCCGAGCGGCTCCAGAATAACTACCGTCACACAGCGAGCGATCTGGAGGCAGCTTTGGGGTCGGGAGGCCGGGTAACCCTGGGCACCGGCGTACCTGCTGGGCGAGGGCGGCGTGTGCAGGGACAGGGTGGGCACGGCCGTGGTAGGGGGGACGTGACCCGGAAGCTGGTTCCCCTGCGTCATACTTCGGCTCAGTTGAGGGTTGTTGCTGCTCATGCTTCTCATGGGGAAGCTGAGGGCACCTGGAAGACACACACACTCAGCCAGGGGTCCGGGGCTCCACAGCGGTGGCCGTGACCTGCTCTCGCTCCCCAGGCATGCAAACTAACACGCCTGTTTACGGCCCTCTGCTAGTGAACCCGTAATTAGACTGCCGCTACTCCTGTAATCAAGCCTCCCTAATCACTGCAGGAGCGCTACAGCAGGATAAGGGCCTGCTAATTACTCCAGGAGTACCAGGCATGGAATAAGAGCTTGGGGGTGACACCACTGTCACATCCACGTGCCTGGGGTGTTTGTGTTTACGAGCTAGCTTCTGGTTCTGTTAGTGGCAGGCATCCACACTGCTCAGAGACCCTGCTGCCGGGGGGGGGGGGGGGTGTTTATATGTTTCTCAGAAAACACCCCCCCCCCCCCCC